TAAGGCACCAGCCGCCAAAGAAGTCGCGCGGCTACGTCCTCCGAAGCCCGGCTCTGGTCCGACTGCAGGCGCCAGCAGCCGCGACGTCACAGTCGGCAGACATGCTGCAGAGCCAAGTGGCGCCGGCAGCTCGGACGACCACAGACGATTACCACAGGTAGTGGTCAGACGTGGACGACGGCAGGGAGGTGACCCACCTCCACCACCACCTGCGGGTGACCTTGCTGCTCGTCCAAGGCTTCCAGACTGGTCCAGGTTTGACATGCAGATCAGTCCACATAACCTGCGCGGCCTTGACCCAAGCGCGGTAACGCGCGAGTTGCGAAAACTACATTTGCGATGGCTCCACGCCAAGGAGCCTAAGTGGAGACCCATCTGAACCAAGGCTGGTCTGGATAGTCTTAGGCTAAGCATGATAAAAGGCGTCTGTGATACGTGCCGGGAGCGCAGGGCTTCGGAAAAGTCCGGGCGGACTAGAATGTCGTCTTCCGCACTACCTGGCAAATTCAATGATGCAATCGACTGCGACGTAATGTTCTACAATCAGGAAAACGATGTGTTTCACATAATCGATCGTTGCATCCGACACGGCGCTGGAATCGAGATACCAGGCAAAACTATGACCAGCATCCTAGATGCGTGCCATCATTGCGGGATGCAATTGGGACCTGCCAAAGTATTTTACTCTGACGGGGAGGGTGCTCTCAATGACGACACCGCAAACAGGCACTGAGCTAAGGGTAGGAGCGCGTGGACAAACCGTTGTTACCATTGAAGCTGTCATGTTACGTCACTTCTTGCTTCACGTCATGGAGGCTGGTTTTAATTTGTTAGACATACCACTTGTGTTCACCCGACAATTGCATGGGGCTTCGTTTTCCAATTTTGCGGATATCTTTTACAATGATGTATCACCATAACGCAGCGTTTGGCCGAGAACCAGCCATGCTTCCGGACCTGCCTGTCTTAGATCAGGAACGACAGACGGAGAGATCCGATCGCGCTCGAGAACAGATTATTTGCCGTGGGAGCACTGAGGCTATCACACAAGCCATTGCAATACAAGGACAGGCCTTGCACTACGGACCAAGACGACCATCACTGGTCAGCATTACTACAACGAAGGGGATCTTGTTGATTACTAGCGCCCCACAACCACGAAAGACGACTGGGGTGGCTGGAGTGGGCCTTTCCTGGTCATGCGGAACGATCCCGGCAGGGGTCAAGTTTTCGCGCGAGTTGGGAATCGCGATGTACATGTCCAGCGCGGTGGTGCAGGACATCCGCTGTATATCGATGCTCTGATCACTCGAGAAATTGGCTCGAACAACACAGCATCACGGACTGCGTTGGCCTTCGTAGCCAGCCTAACTGCGGGGCGACCTGCTCTGACCTTCGGCTTTTTCCCGACCAGAAAGGGGCTCTCCAAATGACGAGCGAGCCGCTTATCTCCACAGGTACATTTAATTCTCCAGTATCTTATCACAAACTTTTCCCGTATCGCAGTTGTTGTTTCTGTTAGGTTGGCTGAGAGCGTTCACAAGTTACCCGCGGTAACGTATGCCGACAGTTGTGCGCTGGTGCACTATGACAGCGACGTGAACACAGGCTTCATTATGAAGCTGAAGGCACTGCCCTGAACATTCACGACACAATTGGATCAGCACACCCTTGAATCATCCAGTGCCTGAAGTCCACGAAACCTCATGCAGGCTTCGATCAAGACGCGACGAAGTTCGACGAACTGGCAGACATGCCAACGCCAGGCAGCAATGCCAGGGAGGCCCCAGAACCCGAACCACCTTCGGGAAGACGGCCGGCTTCCCACAATCTGCGAGGACTCAGAGGCGTACCTCGAGGCACACATTATGGGAGCGCGGTGCACATAACTACGTGACGAAAGGGAACTGCTGGAGGCAACGCCAGTATAAGAACTCTATACTTCACCCACACAGATGGTCTCTGATAACGGCGCGCTGGCCACAGTTGCAGAAGGACAGCAAGGGCACTTGCCCACGCGGGTTAGCCCACAGGACATCTACGCAGCCGGGACATATCATGTCCCATTGTGTTCCACGGACGAAGATGCCAGTTATGGATTGGACTCTGACTACCACTGACAACATGCAGAATGTCGAAGATTGTCTTATCCGAACAACAGCAGTGGGTACTGGACTTAGACCGTGTTACCACGATGCGAGTAATGTGATCGCCGCAGCTAAACGAGCTGCAGCCGTCAAGGAGGACGACCTTCTCACGGAGGCAGACATTCAGGCGAATCCAGTGAAGGTGTCGAAAGCCCGATATGCTGAACTCAAGACACGATTTTAGAACAAGTGCTTCAACATATAAATCACTTCCGAAGCGTCAAATATAATTTTGGAAGAGAAGTATACACATTGAAGTTCGTCAAGAACGAAAAAAGCGAAATGGAACGTACCATCAGGTTGCGCCTGGACTGCTGGATTTCAAACGCCCCCAGGAACGGCGCGGCGGCCAAGCCAGCGATTACTCGCCAGCGCGGCAGCGTGCAGGAAGCAGTGCACTATAGCTTCCCATGACATCAACGTGGCTTTCTTGAATGGACTCGCGTACCCAGAGCTCGCGGAAGCGACTGGTGAAGAGGAACGCGCGGCGTGTTTCCGCTTGCCACCTGACTCAGCATCAGTACTCAGATCATTCCCAGGATTTGAGCACTCTGATGAGTCAAGACGTTGTCTACAGTGCCTTAAACCACGCAGTGGCACCAAAGATGCACCAAGAGCCTTCTCACTGAAACTCAGGAAGACCACGAGAGGCTCCGGGCTCAGATCCACGTCTTGCGACGGGGATTTCGAGGCGAGCCCCGGCCCCCTCGCTGCCAAACGTGTCGACGATATCAACATGGCCCGTATTGAAGATACCGTTGACAAATACGTCAAGTGCGTTGAGGGTACCTTCTGGGAAGTGCAAGCTCAACAAACACGCATCTACCAACTGTGCCGCGAGGCATGCCAAGGACAGCGACGGCAACGTTACTCTTGAGCAAGACGAATACATAAAACAGCTCCGTCCGATCCAGCACCGCGAACCCACAGGCGCGGATGCTGAGGCCAAAGCATCGAATCTGGTCACTGACATGTTCGTTAGCCTCAGAGGCGCTCTGGCTTATCTTTGATCACACCAGTATGGTTAATCAATACGTTGCGTCGTTGCAGCGCGTCCAAGAACCGACCAACACGCAAGTGCGACGACTCGGCGCGACCACCAGGGAACTGCAGGCCCGCCCTAAGGATATCGCTTATAAAGCGATGACACCCTCGGGCGAGGTCGATCTGCACAGCGATCCCGGCCATCTTCGCCTGAAAAGCGATGCCGATAACGAGGTCAAAGGCTATGGCATTCGCGGGGCAAACCTGCTACGGCGTGGACGCACGCTTGCTGGTAAACATGCCGTCCATCTTGCCGACGCGCGCTGCAAGTCTCACTGCTTGGAGGCCCGCCTTAGCTACTCAGCTGAAACACAAGCAGCAGCCCATGACCTGGAGGACTGCTATCCCGCGATTGTTACGCTGCACGAACTCCATGGAGGGCCGCTGACACCTACTCATTTCAAGGATATTCTTGAGGTGGGCGGCCTCAGCATTAAGGTCACCCTGACCATTGATGCGGAATCTGTCTTCAAGTCCTTGTCAAGCAAAGACCTGAAGAAGCCGACTGAATGTACCCTACTGGGTCACACCAGTTGGATACGGCAAGTGATGGAGCGCGGTATCGTGCATTGTGCGCAGTGGTGTGACACCCGCGACATGACTGCAGATGGACACACCAAGGGGAACATTGCCAGAGATATGCTCGTACAAGTTATGGAAGGTGTGCAATCGTTCAAACACGACTTGAAGCGACACACCCTCTACAGGGCTGGCCAGACGAAACCAGTTGAGCCGCCCGAGGATTAGTCAGCTGCGGGGCAACCTGCTACAATTGAGCCTGCTGGCTGCTGCCTTTCCTGTGTATTCGTTGTTTTGCTGAGTAGGTCGCGGACTCACGCTTCGTCTTCTCCCCCCCCTAACTCTGGAGGAGGAAGGGCAAAGGCGAGAGGTATCGAGCGTTTGTCCGCGGCCGCTTGGATTCAAGCGACTGGCCGCCGAATTGAGTGGGTCGCACCGCGGCCCGCTATCTTCCATCGAGACAGAACATGTTGCACCCTTTAGTCTTGAGATGTTCCCTCGCCGCTCACGCGGACCTGTCCTGCCTAAGTCACCTATCGTTAATACGAGACAACAAGGTTGGACGTATACTTCGCATTCGGCGAAGTATCTGGTTGGGTCTTCCAACTTGCTTTAAACTGGACGGCGTTGGCGGCGGTCGTCGGGGATTCTGAATTGGACCCGTGGATACGCGTCGGAGCAAAAAGAGAGCGGTTTAGGAGTTTTCTACTTCGCCGGTGGTCCAAGTCAGGTAGGATTGTTCAAAGGCGCCCGTTCAGGCCGACGCGGGAAATTCAATTTTGGCGCCTTGATCGTAGCGCAGGTATCATTGCAATCTTTTCCTGGTTCGTCGTCGTTGTCGTGGAAACCTGCGGACAAGAGGCATCCGAAAACTCCCGAAACATTCCAGAAACGCCAAACGGCTTCACCAAAAGCTTCCAGAAACCGCCGTGCCTTTGTTCTTGCCCCCCCTGCCCCCCCCTGCCCCCTCTTGCCTCCTCCTGCCTCCCTCTCCCTGTGTTCCTCCCCGTCAATTTTTTCGAAGACGACGACGAAGACGACGACGACGACGACGAAGAAGACGACCCCAGACATCGAACGATGTATTTTTTTCAGTGCGCGTCCCACGGGGCCCCGACTATTTCCCCAGGGCCAGGTTTGAGTCTTGGGTCCATTGGATTTGGTCCCGGGGCCCGATGACGCCCCAGAGGCCGACATCGACGAGAGCTGCCCGGCTGAACGAATCACGTCCTCGGAGAGCTGGGACGACGATGACGACCACGATCACGACCACGGCCGCGCCGTTGGCAGGCAGCGGCCGCCGCCGCGAGAAGAAGCGTGCGCCAGCAGTCGCCCTCGCCGCGAGAGGGGGCCAGAAGGTTGTGCCGCGGGCGGTGGACGGGGGCCCGCACGCGACGGAGCCACGCGCGCCCGTGGGGGACGTTGTAGTGATACTGGTGGTGGCTCAAGTGAGCGGCGCAAGTCAGCAGGGCCGTCTACGTCGACTTTGGCGCGTGAGCTGCCCGCGTAAGGCCGCGCGAGAGCGCCCTCGTCTCCAATGTAGCGTGCCGTGCTGGCGGGCTGCATAAGCCGCCGCGTCAGGTCGCTATGTCATCTTGCGTACGACACGTTTTATTTCCGTCGCTCAAGTGATCATACGAGACGCAGCAGAAAGGTCTTCGCTGGCGACGAGTCGAGGGTGTGACGTCGCAGCGGGGGGCGGCGGAAGTAAACCGAGGGTAGCTCCGCCAGCAGAAGCCCCCGGAAGGCTGGCAGAAACTCGTAAGTAAAGGATGCCCCCGGGCGTCGCAGCAATCATGATGGCGGCAAGTTCTTCGCACTGGTCTCTATAGCCAGAGATCTCACGGTATGTGTTTTTCCCCACATGCTTGGTGGGGTTCTGGTTGTCTTCATTGCCGCGCCGCACCCGCGTCTCACCTCCTCCCCTCCTCCCCCTTTCTCCTCCTTCCTCCCTCACCGACAGCACAGCACAACACAGCACGGCACAACGCACACATACACATACACACATACACACATACACACAAACAGCACAGCACAGTACAGCACAGCTCAGCCCAGCACACAGCATCCTCCCCACGCACACAGCACAGCACTGCTCAGCACAGTTCAGCTCAGCTCAGCACAGCACAGCACAGTACAGCACATCACAGCAGAGCACAGCACAGCACAGCACAGCACAGCACACCGCAGCACAGACAACACATGCAGTGGCACTTTCTCGACACCACAGGGGGTGCGCAGAGGGTGGTCCCTCAGCGCGGCCTCTATCCGTGACACGCTCGCAGATCGTGGCAGGAGTGGCACTTTCTCGACACCACAGGGGCTGCGGAGAGGGTTGTCCCTCAGCGCGGCCTCTATCCGTGACACGCTCGCAGATCGTGGCAGGAGTGGCACTTTCTCGACACCACAGGGGGGGCGCAGAGGGTGGTCCCTCAGCGCGGCCTCTATCCGTGACACGCTCGCAGATCGTGGCAGGAGTGGTACTTTCTCGACACCACAGGGGGGCGCAGAGGGTGGTCCCTCAGCGCGGCCTCTATCCGTGACACGCTCGCAGATCGTGGCAGGAGTGGCACTTTCTCGACACCACAGGGGGTGCGCAGAGGGTGGTCCCTCAGCGCGGCCTCTATCCGTGACACGCTCGCAGATCGTGGCAGGAGTGGCACTTTCTCGACGCCACAGGGGGTGCGCAGAGGGTGGTCCCTCAGCGCGGCCTCTATCCGTGACACGCTCGCAGATCGTGGCAGGAGTGGTACTTTCTCGACACCACAGGGGGGGCGCAGAGGGTTGTCCCTCAGCGCGGCCTCTATCCGTGACACGCTCGCAGATCGTGGCAGCAGCGGCACTTTCTCGACACCACAGGGGGTGCGCAGAGGGTGATCCCTCAGCGCACCCTCCATCCGTGACACGCTCGCAGATCGTGGCAGGAGTGGCACTTTCTCGACACCACAGGGGCTGCGGAGAGGGTTGTCCCTCAGCGCGGCCTCTATCCGTGACACGCTCGCAGATCGTGGCAGGAGTGGCACTTTCTCGACACCACAGGAGGGGCGCAGATGGTGGTCCCTCAGCGCGGCCTCTATCCGTGACACGCTCGCAGATCGTGGCAGGAGTAGCACTTTCTCGACGCCACAGGGGGTGCGCAGAGGGTGGTCCCTCAGCGCGGCCTCTATCCGTGACACGCTCGCAGATCGTGGCAGGAGTGGCACTTTCTCGACACCACATGGGGTGCGCAGAGGGTGGTCCCTCAGCGCGGCCGCTATGCACGACGGTCGTCCAGGGCATAGCAGGCGTGGCATTTTCTCGAGACCATAAAGGCTGCGCAGAGGGTGGTCCCTCACCGCGGCCGCTATGCACGACGGTCGCCCAGGGCATAGCAGGCGTGGCACTTTCTCGACACCATAGAGGGTGCGCAGGGGGTGATCCCTCACCGCGGACGCTGGCTGGCTCGAATCTGTCCTCGATGGAGGATAGAAGGCTAGGAAGAGGGAGGAGGTTCAAGCAATATGGCGTTTGATGACACATAGGGGAACATTCGCGACGAGGGCTGAGAACGCAGAATTGCGCATATATAATAAACTTAATCAAACACATAACATTCAAATTAAGTATGTGGGGTTCCTCGGTAGCGTAATTCAATCCTGGCGTTCTTCTTCGAACTCCGCCCTCTCGGAGGCCGTCGGGCCCAGGGGCTATCAGACATGTATCCAGCACGAAGAATTGGACGCATGGAAGCCGTCGGGTGTTTCTGGGGCCGCGGACTGAAAAAACAGATCGGCGGATGATGGAGTTTGGCGTGCGGCTCATCCGTGGCATGTTTGATTGCATTGGGGATTCTCTGCTAACTTGTTTACCACTATCGGCCTCCTGGTGGCCGCTTCGTGCCCCCAGGGCCGTCCAGAAGAGTTCGAACCCTTGCGCCTGCCCCCCCGATCCCCAAGCTGAATGTTGAGGGTGCGGCAATGGAGAGGGCATTGGTGGACAGAAGTATTCGAACCCCGAAACCACCACCCATGCTAAAATCAACATTTGTTTCGGGGACGGGCGGTTGATGAACATCCCCCTCAAGTGTCTGAGGGTTCGAATGCTTTGTCCATGTACCGGAAGCCATAACCGGGGCCCTGGACCGTATCTTTCCGTGCCATGTGTCGAGCCAGGTAGATCCGCGCGAGGGCCCCAGGGCCCGCATCCGGGCGAAGACGGCGCCAGGAGCTCGCAGGGATCCAGGGACGAGAAGCACACACTGCCTCTGGGGGAGGGGTCGAGGTCATCAGCCCCAACTCCCGATCCGCCGCACTGTGGTCGATTTTCCGACTTAGACAACTGCGCCGAAAATACTCACCCAAGCGATGCGAAACAGCAGGGCGGGGATCTCCGCTTCAGAGAAGGAGGGGCGCCTATTTTCGCAGAGGTGCGGGGCGGATAGGGCGGACGTGGAGCTCAGAGGAGCTTCAAGCCCAGATCCCCGACGCCATGATTTTCTCATGACGCGGACCCCCAGAGGTCTCGACCCATTCCCCGGAATCGGTTTTTCATCCTGAGACATTATTTGACAGTCCCGACGCGCGGTAAGGACCCCCAGAAGCTGAAAATATCATGAAATTGCTGTCGTAATTTGTTCGCGACTCGATAGGGCGGAAATTCCCGCCCTCCTCGCAGAACCGTCCAAATTGGAGGGCAAAGCCTGCTTGCTTCTAGGAGGCTAATGTCTGGGGCATCTGCCCAATACAGTCCTCATGTTCAGGCCGCACGTGTCTGTAGACACATAGGGTGTGGGTGTCTCTTTGGCATGTTCCTGTTTTGGTACTCCCACGTCCAATCCAGACTCCCTCGAGCAATGAAAAAATCATGACGGGAGGTGTTCCACCATTTTCGCCTTTTCAATGGCCCTTACCAGGCCTCGGGACCGTCAGAAAACGACTCGGGATGAAAAGCCAGTCCCAGGGAATGGGTCGAGACCTCGGGGGTCGACGTTATGAACAACTCATGACGTCGGGGGCCCTGGGAAAGCGCCACGGACCTGGAGTCCCGGGGGGCCCACCCCGCGCAGGCCAGCGCCGGGGGGACTGCGGGCGATCCGTCGCGGGTCGGCGGGCCTCCCCTCCGCGAGCCTCCCTGGCCGATCTGGGCGGGCTCCTCGGGGGGTCCCGCGGAGCCGGCCCATGGGCCCATCCCTGGCGCGTGGTCCTGGTTGTGGGAGCCTCAGAGGGTCCCCAAGAATCCTGGCTGTTTCGGAGATTCCGTCCGGATTTGGTGGACATCTGGACGGAAGCTGGACAAAATCTGGACGAAAGGGTGAGGAGGAAGGGTCGAGGTCTGGACGGAATCCGGTCGCAATGACGTTTTTGATAGCGCCGCGGAGGTTCACAGAGGCCCTCATGAAGGCTCACCCAGCATGCCGTGGGATGCAACTCCTGGGAGGTTGAATTCATGATCGGCCCTGGTATACCCCCTGGCTAATCCCGCTCAGTCCAGTCTAATCCCGCTGAATCCGGTTTCATCCCACTGAATCAGGCTTCATCCTGGGTTTGCTGCTCGCCTAGTCCAGCCCGGTGGCTCCGAATCGGAGAACAAATAGCTTTACATCGTTCTGACGAAGACATCCCAGTAATTACCTACTAACATCCTCGGACGGGGATAAATAATATGTTCCAGAGCGTTCCAGAACGCTTTCAGATTGTTCCAGAACGCTTTCAGAGCGTTCCGGAACGCTCTGAGAAGGCCGTGGCGCCCGAGACATCTTCCAGAGCCGCCAGATGTCACAGATTCTCGATTTATCCTCACCCGAATATGATCTCGTCCAGGTTTCGTCTTGAAGAGCTCCCAGGAGTTACCTCCTGGCATACCCGGTCCCCTCACCAGGCCCAGGGATTCTGAGGGCTGCTCTTCGTGCCGGGCCCCGGGGCTCTCCCGACCCGTCCCCTGGCTGACATTGGCCAGCGCCGTGCAGCCGCCCTGCTGAGACTGAGCCCGACCGGCCTCCCCCCTCCTCCCCAGACCCTCTCGTGTCAGGACCAGAATCACGACGCAAGGTTTTTAGCCATGGGGGCCCTGGCCAGGCCCTGGGACCCTCAGAAAACAACTCAGGATGAAAAGCCTGTCCTGGGAAACGGGTCAAGACCCCTGCTGCGAAAAAATCATGGCGTCGGGGGTCCGGGGCCCCCTCCTCCTCGGCAAGCTCCCGATACAGTCGGGACGCTGAAGCCAGGACCACCTCGGGCCCCCTGTGGAGGCCCTCCCGTGTTCGGGCCGCTCCGGAGATCCAGGCCGGGGAACCTCCTCGTGGCCGAGGCTCGCCGTGGCCCGGAGAGCCCCTCCTTGCGGCCGGCGCCGCCGACCCGGAAGGGTGAGGCCGGGGCGCGTGGGAGGCAAGGCATCGAAGGGGGTATGGGCTTCTCCCGGGGAGGGGTGTTCCCCCCACGGGGGCCTGGAACGCCCCCTTCGCTCCCCATCTGGCACCCCTTCTCACATGGTAGCACGATGATTGCACGTCCCTGCGGAGCCGCGGTCCTTCGCGTGGAGGCCCACTCCCAGCACGGCTGCCACAGGCAGGGCCTGCAAGGAGGGCGCGCGTGCCATCCCATCCGCAGGGCACGGGCTGCCCCCCCTTGCAGGGCGCGGGCAGCGCTCGCTCGGCAGAGGAGCTGGGAGGGAGGGCCAGCTGAGGCAGCGGCGGCCCTCCCGCCCGGCCCACGTCCACCCCGAGTCTGCCCCCGGACCCCTCCCGGTCCAGCATTCAGCCGGGCATGTCCCCTCACAGGAGGAATAGTCAAGGATGGTGAAGAAGTAGTCTCGTGATTCTAACGTTTTTTTTTATGGTTCTACTAATATGTCGTGGTAGGCCTGCCAGGACAGTCGGTCACTGCTCAGCACGGGGCCCATCCTCACCTGCTCTTCGCGGCGGATCCGGCCGCGGCGACAAGGAGGCTCCGGGAGGCCCAGCATGGACGACAAATGCCAGGGGAGGCGCTGCCGTCTGGCTCTCGACCCCCAGGAATCCGACGGTGTGACTTTCTCCATGCGCGGCCCGTTCCCCAGGAGGCCAACACCGAGGAAAAACGCTGGGAGTTTCAAATGCTGATCGTCAGAAAACATCACTTTGGAGGCCTTCCAGGAGCCCGCGGTCGAGCTGCGCTGGCTGCTGGCCCAGGCTGTCGAGCGCCGCCAGCCGCAGGGCGGGTGCCCGCCGCAGGAGGCCGCCGCCGCCAAGCGGGTCGTGCGCGCGACTCTGGCGCGGCTGCTGAGCGCCAGCGCGACGGAGCGAACGTTCCAGGCTCTGCCGGGGCCTGGTCAGGGCCATGCGTTACGGAAGGGCAACGTTGGCGGTGGTGGTCGTCCTCGGCGGCTTTCCAGCCTCGGGGTGCTCTCCAGCGGCTGCGCCTCGCCGAGAGCCTGGGGCGGCGCCTGCGACCCGAGCTGCGACCCGAGAGCTGGCCGGCGAGGATCACGGGGGGGACGGGAGTTAGGCCTCATGCAGGGGGGGTGCATCGACCCCCAGGTCGCCCATGGATCGCCGAGAGGGGCCTATGGAGCGCGCAGGGAGCAGGCGCCTCCCGGATGCTGTCTGGAGGGATCAGGTCCGTGCGCGTGTGCGGCCGGGGAGGTCGCGGCGCCTCGAGGTCGGACCTTGGACGATCCACCTCGGGCTCGGGCAGGCTCGCTTGCACGGCATCTCGCCCGCCCCCCCGGGTCCATCCCCAGACCACCGCGAGTCATGAAAAAGTCACGACGCACGGTTTCTCTCTGTTTTCGGCCTCCGGGGGCCCCCACGGGGCCTCGGGACCGTACCAACAGTCTACTCGGGATGAACCTGGTCCTGTGGAGTGGGTCGAGATCTTTGGGGGTCGACGTTAGGAAGAAACGTATTGCGTGGGAGGTCTGGGAAGGCAGAGGGCGTTTTACCTTATGCTAGGGCATGCTGTGCTTGTATGGCATTTCGCCCGCCCCCGAGGGCCCATTTCGATACGATCGATCCGAGTCGTCATCGATTCCAGCCAGCCCGATCTGATCCGATTCCGATAACTATTGAAGCGGTCCGATGCGGCCCGATGTTCGCATGAGCGCTGTCGTGCATTTTAGCGCGACCGACCCGATTCGATGCCGTCTCCGTGCCGGTGCAGCCCGATCCGACGCACAGCTCGATTCGATCCGATTTCCCGATTCGATGCCGACCGACCCAGCCTCTTCAGACAGCGCCTGGTCGAAATGGCGTGCAGGTGTGTCCCGAAGTCCGTGGAGTCCAGATTTCCTTTCGGGCCGTCGTCCTCCCCCCCTCCTCGGCCCTCACTGCAAGCAAACTTGCCGGAGTCTACAGAATAACTGTCTCATTATGATGCCGATAGGCGCCCCTCGTCGCTGCGGCTGGATCCAGAGTCATGGTCAGGACGCGCCCCGGGAGATGTCCCGGGAAAAGCGGTATCGGTTTATGGTCAGGAGCATTTGTTGAGCGTGACGCCCAGCTGGCTGCGTCGCGACACTAAACACGCCCCAGTTCTCAAGCCTAAAAGTCCCGAGTTTTCCCCAGCCTCCCGCCCCGCGTAGCGGAGCGACACGGTATCCTCTTGCAGGACACAGCGTGTCGCTAGGGCCATCGCCGCGACACGCTAAGCAAACGTTCCTGACCGTATCCGCTTGTTCCCCCATCGAGGCGGTGGCGGCGCCAAGGCGGGGAGTATTTGTTGAGGGTGAGTGTCCCCTCGGGAGGGGGGGGGGCGCCTCGGGTCCCATGGAGCCCAAAGATCGGACAGCCCATCGGGGTAATCCACATGTGGAGCGTACCAAAGCCAAAGCCCTACAGTCAGGAGATCGAGAGGTTGACATTTCTTCCTTGGCGGAGGGGCGGCGGAAGCAAAACGGGGGCGGCTCCGCTGTCGGAAGCCGGCGGCAGTAAAAGATGCCCCCCTAACGAGACTACACTTTTGTTGTTGCTTCCAGAGTTTCCGCAGCCAGCCATTTGTTCCGGGGCTCGAATTGCCCACGTCGCAGGCGGTGTTCCCAAGCTAGTAATTACGTCGAATGCCCACCCCTAGGCCAACCACTGCCTCCGCCGAACAGATGTGGCACCAAGGCGCGCAGAGTGTGCGAAGAACGGGAGCGGGCCACGCGGTGCAAGAAACCCAGGGCCGCAGCTGTCACGGCATGAACCTGCTCTATCTTCATCTATTTCGTGGAGCCAGATTATCCGAGAGCCCATGTCACGTTACATCTTCGGGGGACTTTGCCCGTCCCCAAACTTGAAGTCTTTCTTGTGCTTACGCGGGCTCGATGCGGACTCGACGCAGACTTGGCGTAGATTCGACGTGGAGTCGACGCGGATTTGACGAGTTCGACACAGATTCGACAAGATTCGGCGCGGATAAGGGCGCGACGGGACAGATATGATCCCCAGAAGATGCAGCAGAGCCTATGGGCTTTCCGGGGGGGGGCAGGAGATAATGTTCTTCGCCTCGGGGCGGAGATAACTGTCGCTTACGTTTTTCTGTGTCGTTCTCCGAACGATTCGCGGGATACTGCCTTCCCGCTGGGCACGCCGCCGAGAGATCGCGGTCAGGCAGGCAATCGCTTCTGGGCACGATCCGTGCGTCTAGGGAAGAGCACGGCTTGTTTGCCTCTCCGTTCTCGTGTCGGCGCCGGCGACAATGGCCGAGCTCCGTCTTCCTCGGGATGCTGCAGCTGGAGCCACCGTTTCGGGAGCACGCCCGCACTGGCCAGATTTTCGGACCCTGGGCCAGACCAGACGGACCAGAGCCCCCCCATAACACCCCCTCGCGACGTGAAAGAGTCACACTCGAGGTGTTCGACGGCTCCGGGGGTCCGCGCAAGGCCCCAGGACCGTGAACACACGACTCGGGATGAAAAGCGGGTCCCAGGGAAGAGGGGCCGAGACATCCAGGGGTCCACGCTGTGAGGGAAAACCGTGGCGTCGGGGTTTGGGGCCCCTCGTGATCCCTGCTGCCGTCAGGAAGGCTTATGTAACGGCCCCGAGCGCTCTGCAGCGCTCTCAGGTCGTTCCAGAACGCTCTGGAGCGACACGGCCGCGGCGCCTGGTAATTACATCCGCCAGGCCCGCAGGATTTCAGAGATATCCCCGATTTATTCTCCTCATCTGGGTTGTTGTCCTCGTCATTCCTTCGTCCCCAGACCCCCAACGTCTTTTAAACAAAATCAAGGCAGAGGTTGTTCGACGTTTTCGTTCTCTGGGTTCCCTCGCCGCGCCCTGAGATTGTCAACATAACTACTCAGGATGAAAATCTGGCCCTACAACCCTCCGCGCAATCAAGCGCAAGTTTTTATCCAACCCCTTCGCCCCCCCTATTTCAATGTTCAGCGACGCGCGCAACGCGGCCCGCGGGGTCCGACAGAAAAGTTGCAGTCGCCAGTTTCGACGCGAACATCGAAATTGGAGTCCAGGCTCGCCGCCACGTCGCGGGACCATAATCCAGGCATGGACCCCTCTCTGCAGCACACGTCCTGTGCACTGCCACGCGCGCAGGACCAGTGCGTACGCACACTCCCCTGCGACGTCGCCGCGCGAAGCCAATCCAGCGCACGCGGCGACCCATCAACCAACCAACCAACGGAGAACAATTTGGCAGCGCAACCCTCCGGCGCGCTCCCGCACGCAACCAACCCACCAACCAGCCGTCCGGAGAGAAGGACAGGAGACCGCTTGCTGCTTCTGCAGCGCACGGCGGTGAGGACCACCTGCTGCCCTGCGGCGCACGGCCGTGAGAACCCGCCTGCCGCACTGCAGCGCGCGGCCGTGAGACAGGCAGGCGCACGCAGCGAACCCCGCCGCGCCACAGAGGCACCCAGGCTGCGAGGGGCCAAGACGCCAGAAGAGCCTTCCAGAAGATGTTCATAGATTTTCCTGCCGCCCAAATCGCTACGAGTTCTGGGGGCTCTGAAACAGTTGCGATTGATGCCGCGCAGGGATGCAGGGAAGGGGTCCGGACTTCCAGATCCTTGGGTCTCGGATCGCTGGACGAGAAGGAAGCAGGAGTTGGAGTTATTACGGTGATGCAGGAGAGCGAAGGGAGGGCGGACTATGGAAGCAGGGGGCGGATGGAGGGCGGACGATGGATGCAGGAAGTTGGGGGAGGGCGGAAGAAGGAGGCCCCAGGCAAGCTGGACGAGGCGCGGGGGGCTGCGGATGACGAGGGGGAAGGAAGCAGGAGGTGGAGGGAGGGCGGCTGCTGGAGGAGATGTCAGCAACGAAAGGCGATTTCATAACGAACACACCCCTGCGGACGCCGTCGCGCCTGCGCGCGCACTCGCGATCCGGAGGGCGGCGGAAGGACGGGGGCCTGCGGAGGGCCTGCGGGAGAGCACCGCGAGGGCATTTGCCTCCGCGGGCGGAGGCCCTCCGTGGGCGGAGGCCGGCGGAGGCTCGGCGCAAGGCGGGAGCAAGCGAGCACGAGGTGCATGTATCTTGGCTCAGGGAGTGAAGCAGGAAGGAATCGGCAAGACTTGCTATCACCGTTTGACGCTCGTGGCAGTTGCAGGCCACGACGTTGCTTTAAGATCTGGTCGGTTTTGCGCCAAAAACGGTTGCGGGTCGCCGGTGGTGAACATAAGCACAAACAGCAATCCTCCACCGACCCCAACCTCTACACCTTTGTATACAGGATGCTTCGCAGCCAATTGAGAAATGAAATGCCCGAGTTGCACCAACATCCGTGGACCCATGGCTGATGGTCTCAGAGTTCCGGGGTCGACCATGTCAGCGACGAAGGTCGGCCACGCGCAGAAGGCGGTAGGGGAGAGGGGGTGAGGCTTCTCAGGGGCGCCCTGCTTCTTGGAAGTTGCTGGGGTTGTCCACAGACGGAAGGCCAGTGCTTTTCAAGACGCAGCTTCCTTCTAGGAGCCTTCCCCCCCGCATCGCTCGGACGTGTGCATTTTTTTCTCGGCGAGGGCCATCGAGGAGCATCCTTGATCATTTGGCGAAAAAGCCACGCACGAAGCCGAAAAAAGCACAGGGAATGAACGTCCGAGCGATGGCGAGACTCGTGCGCGCCGCCGAGGAGGGAAACCGGGTCGGCGGCGCGGACGCTCGCGCGTGAGCTTCCCGCGCAGCGTCGCGCGCAGGCGCCCTCTCCTCCGCGCGGTGTGCCATGCTCTGGCGGCCCGCGGAGGCCGCGGCGCAGGGCCGTCAGATGCCCTCTTGCGTAAGACCCGTGCACAGACATCCAGCCTCTCGCTTTTTCGAGGCACGGGGCCCGGGCCTCTCGACCACGTCCCAGAGACCTGTTTTTGATCCCGAGGAGTTGCTCGACGGTCCCGAGGCCTTGGGAGGGCCCCGAGAGGCCGAAGACGATGGAAGACCTCCGCCACGATGTTTTCGAGGCGCCGGATGTCTGGGTTTCTTTCCGTCGCTCACGTGCCTTCTCGTGTCTCTCCGATCGCATGCTTTCCGGCCCCCCGAGGCATGCTACCAGCAGCACCTCCCTGCGGCCCTCGAGCAGGAGGGCGCGGCCAGGGGGGCGGTCTCGGCGGCGGTGAGGCAACTAGTGGAGGAGAGCCTGAGGTGGTACCACATGCTGGAGGACCCGCGTGGAGCTTCGGCGGCGTGCGTGGAGCTCGAGTTCTTGGTCCTCCCCCCCGCCCCTTCGCGTGTTGCAAGAATCGCGCTGACACGTTTTTTATCCGGATTCGGCCTCCAGAGGCCCTCGCCGGGCCACGGGACAGTCAAAAATCGGCCCGGGACGAAAAAACATTTCTTGGGAAGGGATCCGGACCTCCAGGGGTCTACTTTGTAACAAAATCACGAAATTGGAGTTTTGGGTCTTTTTCCTTTCTCTTCCTGCACAGGCTTCTCTGCGCCTGACTCCTGCCCCCCCCCCGCCTCCAAGGGGTCAAATCACATCCGTTTGCTGACCCTCTCTTCTCCTCTTCCCCCTTCCCGGGTCGCGAATGCCCCTCGGGCCGAACAGCACGGGAGCACGGGCGCCAGGACAGGTAAGGTGATCTCTCGGATTGGCCCTGGTCCGACCTGGCTGAATGGGCTAGGCGAGCATTGCACTGGAACACGTGGCCTCGGCAACAAGAGCAGTAAGATGTCAGCACTGTCAACCAGCAGGACATCGACGGTCTCCTCGGCCCACCGGCGAACAATGGAGAAGCATGTCCACGCAACCTCATCATATCCCGCATCGGGCAGGGCAGTGGGCACTGCAGTACCTCTGTGATGATCGACAAATCTCGCATGCGCGGCACCACAGCTTTCAGTCATCGAAAATGTAACCCCCTAGTGCGTTTGCATGGGTAAATCGGAGGCGAGGGGGTGAGATCGCAGTGACACGGAGACCCCCCCACTAGGAAATCAGTGTTCGTTTCGAGCTCGTGTCGTGTGTGCGAGCGAGTCGAAGTTGCGTGGGCGGGCGAGAGGAATGAACCCTCCTCTTGCTAGGGCGCCGCCGGGCGGGTTGTCCGGCGGTGGCCCGTCGGTGTCCCGCGGGTGTCCCGCCCGTGTCCCGTCGGTGTTCCGTAGTGAGGCCGGTAGTGAGATCGATGGTGAAATGAGATCGATACTGAGATCGATAGTGAGACCGATAGTGGGACTGAAAGTGAGAGCAATAGTGAGAGCAATAGTGAGATCGATAGTGATATGCATAGTGAGTCTGATTGTGAGATCGAGCGTGGTATCGGTCGTTCGATCAATCGAGTAAGATCGATTGTGATATCGATAGTGATTTTGCTTGTGAGATAGTTCATGATATCGATAGTGAGATCGATTGTGGTATCGATAGTGACATCGATTGTGAAATCCATAGTGGGATCGATCGTGCTGTGTATATTAGTATCGGTAGTGGGATTTATAGTGAGTTAGATTGAATGAGACGTTGTTTCCTTCCCCCCCCGAACCTTCTCATCACCCAAAGGGTGTTTGTATAGGTATATGTAAACTACCACAGCCCGACTACAGCCACGAACAGGGGAGCATCGTAAAACGACCCAGATAACATTGCAGGTCGTCAACGTATGCGAACCTCCAACCAAGTTTTGCTCCACCAGCACGTCCGGTGGCATCTGGAAGCGGGGGACGTACTGTGACAATTGAAAACAGAAGTCGGTTGTCAATCGACGTGCGCAGTCAAGCGCTTGTCCAAGAAACCGCGAGTCCAGACTACTCTCTAGCAGAGGATATGCAGAACAACAATTTGCTGACGATTGTGGGAGCGTATGGAGCCAACAATGAGCTATAACCGAACGACCACATCTACATGCCGCTGCATTGTTCAGCGGCGGGCGCGAGCCTCATCCAGCAGCTCGATACGGACGTCAAAACGCTTCCTAGTCGAAGTATAGTGCCACCAGCGGCGCCGCACGCACTGTCTCTGTTTCCATGCCATCCAGCCGTTCGGAGAGCGCTGAGTGTTATATTGGTCAAAACAGTACCAGAATCAGAGTGTTGAGTTCGCTACCGCAGCAGTGTATTACTTACGGTTGCGTTCACGCCGTACCAGGCCATGGCAAAGTGTGTGTGTGTGTGGGCGTGATAGAATTACTGCAGAAAAAACAACAACATAAAAACAAGTATGCGGTGGACCTCTGGACGTGATTAACGTCGCCATTAGCGATATCACTCAGGGCTGCGCGGGGCGTCCATGAGAGCAGACTTCAACTACAATCCGCAGGTTTCGTCACATGCACCATCCGCCACCAGAAGAAAAGAAGACAGCTGCAGACCCACGCCCTGCACACAAAACTAAGCGCTGGTGCTTGTATGCGATGGTTTGGTGGTTTGTGCAGTGCCGTAGTGTGTCCCGCCAGGTGTATAAACCAGCCGTGACGTAGTGGCCTTCGTGAGCGCCGTTGTCCGCGAACCAGTCGAGCTCCTTTGTGGTGGCAGCGGGTCGTTGACGGCTGGAGCGGTGACCATCGAGGTGGGCAACATGAACTGGATATTCGGGGCATCGCGGAGCGGCCCGTTCGTGGTGCGCCGCGGGGCCCGGGGCATGACAGTTCCATCCAGAATCTCAAGCCGAAACGCCGACCTCGGGGTGCAACGTCGGAGAACCTCCAAGGTCCCCCTGAGTCGTCAGTATTCTTAGGGTTCTCCCCCTCGGATGTTTCTCCTCCGATCGATTTCAGTCGCTTCGCGTAATCCCACCAGCCTATCCAGAAACGATGCACGAGCGAGTTGCCCCGCTCAGGGATGTGGAGGAGAATGCAGCGGACAGAAGGACTAGGACGTGGCGCCCGGCACGCTCGACCGCATCTTGGACCAGCACTCCTCAAGGGTATGCCCCACTGCCCCCACCAAGCGCGCAGTCACAGCAGAAGTGCAGGAGGAGAGCTACGACATCAGCGTACACCTCTCCCCAGCGGGCGTCAACGCAGCGGCAAAGGACACGTACTCAAGGCAATCGGCCCCGAGGGACGAGCTCACCCCCAACGACAGGGAGCACAACAGCGCGGCAGGAGAAAGCAGCGAACCAGTCAGGGTCGGACGCGACAGCAAATCCGTGTTCCCCAGCGTGGACCCGCCAGAGTGCCCCGTCCTACCAACCCATTCCACCTTCAGGCTCTCCGGGGTGGAATCCGACGGCCCCGTTCACTCCTTGGTGAAGTACTTGCTGGAATGGAATCATTCCGTCTTCAAATGTTGGGCTGATTTCGCACAGCGGTACGGTGACGACATCCCAGGGGACAGAACCGACGAGGGGTCGTGGCCCACAGCAAGCCTGCTCCCTTTCCTGGGAATGATCTACGGGGAGTCGATCCCAAGCAACTGCCACCCCCCCGACATCCCATGGGATGGGCAACGGGCCGCAGTGGCCAGAGTGGTCTACCACCTAATGAGATCCAACGGGAAGTACCAAGACAAATAGGATAGCAACGCTGCCATCCTGACAGAGCAGAGAGGCCAGTGCCCCTTCCGACAGCGGATCGGCACACTGCTGACATTCCTCATGGGAATTGACCAGGCCGCCCTGACATACGGTACCATCACCGCCCTGACCAACCGAGACCACGCGAGGCGGCCGCAGGCTCCGCCGCGGCGGGTGATTCCCCAGCAGCAACCTGGCTGAACAGAGCAGTCGAAACCGAGCCCCCCCCCCCCCCCCCCAGCAGACAGCATTGGACCTGCACAGGAGGACACCTCTGCCCGTGCTCCCAGAGCGAACCCCCCCGCCACAGGTGCAGACGGGGGACGCGACCCACTGGCAGAGGGGAGGGCTCCAACCGGCCAGGCAAGCAAAATCGAAGGCGAACCAGATGGGATCGACTGGGGAGGGGAAGGGGGCAACAAAAACGAATCCGACACCGCCAAGGACCCGAGCCCGGAGCTCAGCCCAACCCTGGTGGCAGACGAGGAAGAAGAGGTCAGCCCTGACCCCCTCAAACTCTTCCTGGAACCATCCAACATGCCCGACGCCTGGCCCCCATACGATCGGATTGTTAATAGGAACGCCATCCGTGTAGTCAGGAGCGCGAGAGACAGCCCCCAAAGAGCAGACAGCGCAGCCTGGAGCATCAATGACGCTAGGGATGACCGAACCCTCAGCCGCGCGAGCGGTGACAAGGGCCGCCAGCGACCCGTGTGGGAAGACACCAAGGACGGGGATGGCCGTGCCACCAAATCCCCAAGAGGCGACCCAGCGCGGTTACACATTTCCGAGGCGCCCTGGAGGGACGTAAGGGCCACGCAGCCACCCCGAGGCGACCCAAGCGATCCCATGGGGGGCATCCCCATGTACATGTGCTCTGTCACCGATGCGGACGTTGCGAAGGATGAAGCCGTGCAGGATAAGATGATACGCTTGCAAAAGACGCTGGGAGGAGCGTTCAATGGAGTTTGGGCCGCATGGGTGAAGAAGGCTGCCATGGGGCAGGGGACCAACGGAAGCGAACAACACGACCCTAAACGGAACACGGTTCAGTCGTGCAACGAATTCATCCAGGCGTGGGACAGCGCAGGATACGACGCCTACAAGATGGACAGCGACCTAGGGCTCAACGTCCACTGGCCGTCGGTCAAGGACAAGCACATGAAGCTCCTCCAACGCGAACCCAAAACCCACGCTCAGCGCGGACCCGACAGCAGCGGTGGACCCTCCCCATGGACAGCAGAAGGCAAGGCAGCCGCGGCGGCAGCCGTGCATGATCGATGGGCAGGTGCCGTCGGCTCTGCCACCCCCACCCGGTGGCAGGGATGGCAGGAGTGGACTTCATGAAGCCACCAGAAAGCACCGTGGACGGAAACGGATTGGAAAGGGAAAAGTAAGCGCTACTCCCCCAGGCGGGACGATCGATACACAGACCAGCGCGCACGATTGTGGGACAGGGAGGACTAGTGCGCCCAGGGCTAGCAGGGTCGGGCTGGCCTGACAGCGCGCCCCCTGCACTCCCAGCCCTTCGCCTGCGACCCCCCCCCCCGCGTCGCCCGCGCCTCTCCCCGCTGGGGGCGGTTTCACCTCGCAGCGCCCGGCCTCGGCCGTAATGCCCTGGGGCAACTCCCACTGGGGCGGGGGTCTCCCCACATCTCACCCCTGGCGCAGCATAGTTAGACAGCCCACACTGGAGAACAGGACCTTGCCTGGACATCTCACCCCCCTCAGCAAATGGGGACTAGCCCGCAGGCCTC